AAAAAAAAACGCATTATGAAAAGGAGCTAGATGCAAGAAATGGCAACCTACTTCCATTTCTATCTATTGGAACATTGTTGCTTCAATTTTTTGCTTATAAGGGCATTGTACTTCAAAATATTTTCTTATTAAGAAAAACCCAATCATAGCAAAGAAAATTGCTTTGCATTTTGGATGACATTGCTATAATTGGGTGTATTTTTCAAAGTGAAATGTTATAATAAACAAATCAATGAAAACATGATTGCAGCAACCCATTCATTCAAGGACAAAAGTGTCAAATAACAATCATATATATATATATAAATATCAAATATGACCATGTGAATTGATAGAAAAGAGAAACTATATGCACCTGTGCTACTACTCTATGACCTCTATAGTCAACAATGGCCATAGCAAGATTATACAATCCAGGAACATCGGCTTCTTGGTAAGCTTTTGTGCCTTTTAGATCATTGTTTGAAGAGGCATATGTGGCTTGTTCACTCTCTGCCAGCTGTGCCTCAGATTGCACATCCACAACACCATTGAGGCTATGATTATGATTCTCCCCATTAACAGCAGATGATTTCACCAAGGTGGAATCTGATGATTGCTTCCTCGACAACTGCTCAAGATCCGCATCAACAGCAAAACTGAAGAATATGTTGTTGTGAACATACCTAAAAGCAAAACCACACACAAATTTTAAACCATTCATACATAATCTGTTTCTTGTCTACTGTCTAGTGGAATGGAATCAGACAGGGTTAGAGATAAAGAGAATAAGCAATAATGAGTCATTATGTCTCATCATCATGTTTCATTGCTCTGTAGGAATTGAATGAATTTTCATATAATTTTTCTATATTAAATAAATGTTTATTGCATTATTTAAATATATTTAATAAACTATTTAAATATATGCATTGTACTTACATGTGAAAGCATTCTGGATCGGTTGGATTAATTGGTGGGATGCATCTGCTGATGACTCCAATAGCACCACTTATTGCAGCATCAACAAAATCAGAAGAAACCTTATACAGGGCTCTATCTCTCAAGATTCTACAATACATGAAGCCAAAAAAGTTACATATTTATATTCTAAAACAGAAAGCAAACTATACTACCTTTCTTGAGGGCTTGCATGAGGAAACTCTCTACAAGATTGCAATTCCTCATTCCAGTCTCTTTGCATCCCGATTAACTCGCTCCCAAAGGAAAGAGTAAGTGAATTCTCTGCTCTAGCTGCATCACGTCTATGATCTACATTACATGATGCAATAAAAAGGTAAGATAATTGATATCAATAGCATGAAAAAGTGAAACACCACTAAAAAATTAAATTATCAGGAAAAGATAAAAAATATTATTACTATTACCAGGAACAGGATGCAATCCAAGCCACGAATTTGGAGGCAACAACGACTGGATGTTTTCAAATGGATGAGCAGAAGCTTTGCGTTCCAACATTTCACGAAAAGCTTTCAATAGATAAAAAAAAACATGAGATTGTTTCCAAATAGCAGCCTACTTTTATTAGAGTATTATTACAGCATTGTACTTTGAAAATCTACCCGATTATTATTGCATTGGGTAAATATTGTAATAGAAAGATTGGAAGTAGGATGCTATTTCTTGTAGCTAGCCTAGCCTAGCCCTTTTCAATATGAAAGAAAGAGTATACAACATCCTTATTCACCTTTCTTGAATTTGGAGCTAATCTTCTGCAAGAGCCCGATAAGGGTAGTTGCTTCTGAAGCAGCTTTAGTGGGTTTTGGGTCGAGGGTATTTCCGGAACTTGAGTTGACATAAAATGTGGTTGTGGTTCCAGTTATACAATACTTGCTTCCTTCGAGTGTGACAACATCCAGATAAATTAAGTCTCCAACAAGCCTGAAAATATAATGAGCATTAATTATTACACCTTAGAAGAAGGTTGCTATTTGCTGATGGGAAACAAAACAAACCAAACCAAACCAAACCAAACCTTCTGTAGCTTGGAGGAGGGTTAAATGAGGAAAACACAATACTTTCAACGCATTTGATCTCTTTGGAAGGAGATGACAACAAATTTGAAAGCGAACCAGAGACATCCTCCATGAACCCCAAATTCTCAAGCTCTAAAACCTCCGTTTTTGCAGTAGGATCTATTTTAATTTGGAAATGATCGATCCATCGGTCAAAAAAATTAATTCAACGAAAAATTTATACAAAAAATAAAACAAACCAAACCTCCTGAATTTGCAGTTGCATTCTCATGTTGCAATGCGAGTGATGTTGATAATGAAGAGTGCAGTGTTGAGAGAGAAAGCAACTCTCGGGTTCGGTGGACATGAGCCCTGATGGATCTATCGTCATAAAGGGCTGCAAACATTTCCATTTATTATTATTATTATTATCAATCCTTGCCAATAAACTATTATTTCTAGTTACTTTTAGAAAGTAAAACTGTTATTTAATTGAAATCGTTAATGTTTTTGAAAAAAGGACTTATGGGTTAGATATTGTAATGAAGTGAAGCTTAAAAAAATGGAAGGATTCACATTCCATGATACCAAAGGCAAAGAGTAGCTAGCTATACCTGCAATCATCTCTAAAGAACAATCCCCTGCAGTGATGTCAGCAACTTCAGAAATTTCATGATAATCTTCCAAATGATGACTCGATCCATCCTTAGTGTGCAGTAATAAGTCATAGCAAGTAAAGAAACATGTCTCTGGAGCATCAAGAAGAAACTGCCTCACATCCATAACAGAATCACTCGGACTCAACTGCAAATTTCATTAACATTTATTTATCATTCAAACCTATAACTTTTTTAAAAAAACAATCAAACTTAAAGATACCACCATACCTGTAGCTCAAGCTTTTCACCAAATTGTGTTTTCACCGGAACAGGGAAAAGATGAATGTCACCTGCAAATAGGATCCAAGATTCTGTAAACTTTGTATTTTTAATCATGAAAACACTTGTTCTTAGTTATCTTACTACTCTTTCTTTTTCTGTATACAACTAGAATCTCTAACTCTGCATGCATCATAGGGTTAAATGTGCATTAAACCAACAATGTTTCTCTTTTTCCCATTTTCTGCAACCACATTTCATTCTAGGAATATGCAACAAACTGGTTAAAATGCAACAATGTTTCAACTTTTTACAAATTAATGCAACAAAGGTTCACTCTTTTACCAACTTATGCAACCAACATAATTTATTATGGAACCAAAACAATTTATTTTGGTACTAAAATGGAATCATTGCATATTTTGTATAAACAAGTAAAAATCACGGAAAAGGAGTGAATAAAAGCACATTAAACCCTTTAACAATGAGCATGTGGGTGTATATGATGTAGACCTACAAACCTACATAAATGTATGAAAGTTGTATCACACATGTCTACCGTGCTGTATGAAACATATCTTTAATTCCTCCAAATGGTGATCCAAGATATATCATGATTATCCTTTCTGCATAGTTATACCCAATACTATTATCTCCCCCTGTGTTCATTTATTAATGCAACCTAATGACCCTAAGGACATGTTTCTTTTTTCCCAATAAGTGATATATGGATAAAGTGATGTTGAGAAAAATGATGTTTAATTTTTTTGAGAAAATGGGTAATGGGATAAAAGTAAACAAGAGCTAACTTGTAAAAAGTTAAAGACTTAAAACGGAATCCTTGACTTTCTCGATTAAGTCATTCATTATGCATTGAGTAAAAAAAAGGAAAACTCATATATAGGTCATTCATGTCCCCATTGAGCCCATTGGGTCGAAAAAAAAATTGATGACGCGGATGAGGGGAGCTCAAATACCTCTAACATCAACATATTACCACAATTTCTATATGCTTTTGAATTTGCTACATCAAAGAAATACAAACAAGAATAAAAGCACGATTGCAAACAAACAAAAAAACTTTACCTTGCTTCGGCTGGTTCTCCAAATTTACATTGTCCGACTCATTGACCTCTGGCTGCGTGGCTTGTATCTCAGCTGAAGCCGGGACTCCATTAGCTTCCACCTTTGTTTCGTCCACAGGATTCAAGTTATCTTTAGAATGACCGTTGGATGAGACCGCTTGTTCAGTAGCATTCGTGGCGTTTTGTGCCCCTTTCTTGTTCCGCCCTCTGCTTGATTTCCCAGCCATATCTACTTCCCAATCACCTAAATCCAGAAAACAAACGAGCACAATCTATATCAGTGTATCTGAATCAAGGTGTTAATCAAAATAAACACATACTATTTAAGGAATCAGAAAAGAAAACCCATTTGAGAAAACACTCGACCAATCTACGCATTCATAACTCGTTTAAACAATGAAGTGAAGTACGAAACTTGCTAAACTAACAAAAGAGATAGATATCTAATGAAAATAACCCCAAAATTGACATATACATGAAAAAAATATAGACATAAATTTGATTCAGCTATCAACAGTCACTATATTGAAGCAAAACCCTCGTGTAGAAATGTTGATACGCACGTTAAAATCAAAGTGAGAGATAAAGAAAAGAAAAAGCAACCTGTATTTGAATATCACCGATTGAAATCGGCGGATAAAATACAGGGAATTAAGAGAAAGTTGTGTACGAATAGCAGCGAATTGAGAAGGGAATGGAGGGATGGAGGCTGTGGCGGCCGAGGGCGAGCGTGTGGTTACTCTGTGAGAGAGAAAGAGTTAGGGAGAGGAGGGGTTTGCGAGTGTGTAGTTTTATTATGTCATGTATTTTTATTTCAAAGGTCAATTAATCTCTTTTCGCAATTAATCTCATTTGTCTTACATTTATTTTATTTGTGAGACACATATATTATACGGGTTGATTAAAACAAAATGTTAAATAAGAACGATTACATGAGAATTTTCTTTATATTTGAAATCTAAAATAAGTGAAAATTACGAGAAAAAAAATACAAAAAATAAATAAATTAAAATTATGTGTTTAGTTGTCAGGCTCATATACTAAACGAGTTAATTATAACATTATGTTAA